GGGCGGTGGGTTCTCAGACCGTTTTAGGCCATCATCATCATCATCATCATGATCATCATTACGGACAACCCAACCGAAATGAGGACGGTGCCACTACTGCTGCAGCTGTAGCTGTAGCTGCTGGACATGTTGGAAATGTAAATGTTACTGGTCCCATCGTTCTCAATCCGTGCAACAGACACACACACACACACATACACACATACATCCATACACACACAATACACATACAGCACCCCCGCTTCCCTCCCCGCCAACCCCATCCTCCCTCTCCCCGCCATTTTCCACCCCACCTCACCCCACCCCCCAACCACTTCCCATATTCTTCATCTCGTCAATCGTCCGTATGCTTCGTCGTACCCCCCATTCACCCGATTTCACCCACAGACCCGTCACCCCACCTTTGGGTCCTCGGTGATGTAGCACTTGAAGGTTCGCTCCATAATCCGCAGCACCCGCTCCTGGTCCGCGCTGAGGGAGCCAGGCGCCGCCTCCGCCAGGGCGCGGCGTACGGCAGTCAGATTGGCTGGGTCGCCCAGGAAGGCCTCGTAGGCTGTTTTAGAGGCGGCCAGAGCCTCGGGGCTGTTGCCCTGGCGGTGTGGAGGTGAACGGGGGTGGTGAGCGGGTTGTGGTTGTGGATAACACGTGGGTAGGGTGTGAGCGCGGGCGCTTGGAAGAATGGATGCGTTCGATACATGGACGGACGGATGGATGGATGGATGATAAAGTAAGAAGTTTTTATGATGGGGGGGAGGGACATGGAGGGAGCGGCGCCTTGGCAGCGGGGGATACCTGTGGCACTTTAGTGGTGTACAACGGCGAAAGCGCGGATGATACAATTGCAGAGACGGGCTTGGAAGCGCCTTATGTTGGCACCCCACCTTAAGGTCCATTTTGGTAGCCCAAAAATTCTCCTCGTATTGAACATGTGCCTGCAGGAAGCGACGACAAGGTCATGCCATTGCCCTCGGGTTCCGAAACAATGGCGCCATGGAAGGTTCCGTGAGTAGCAGTTGGCTATCAGACCCGTTTGAGGACAAGTGTTTGCATGAACGCATCTTTTCCGTTTCTTACTTTCTCGTAAGCCGCATTAAGCTTATCGATGAGCTCCTGAGTGCTCACTTCCCCGGCGATCGCCATCCTGGGGCCAAAGCGCTTTGCTTTACAGATCAATCTGGTTAAATACTCGCAAGTAGTGGGGCCTGAGGCCGAGGCGTTACCTGCTAGGAGCAATGCTGGCAGCTATTCCTGCCAAACCACGAACCGCTTGACGCGACCCCTGCAGCAAAATTCGTACAGTGCTTCGCACGACAGAGGCCTTCGCATGCATGGCAACGTGACGACAGTAAGAGTACTGGCTCTTCATTGCTGACAAGCCTCATCCTTGGGGTACGGCATGGCCGAATCGCCGAAGATCAACCGTTTTTGCATAATACATGAGACCTTTGCGGATGCGCGGAAAATATTGCATGCATCTAAGATAATGTCAATGTGTTGCAAATGTAGCTGTATGAACATCTCCATCCGCAGGTATATGCCGAGGGTAGTGACAAATGACGGAATGGGGTTGCGTTCATGCAACTATTAGGGAAACCATTCTTGCTGATGGATCAAACCAATGAGTGATTTTGCCTACCTGGCGGCCCAAGATTCCCTGGAATACAGTCGTTGCGATGGACGCCACTACTGCCTCCCTTCGTGTCACCTCATCGCGGACTATGCGTCGCAGATCTGTTTCATGCTCCGTTTTTGGAAGATGCTGGGCTAGCTGACGAATAATGGGCCGTTGTGATCGCTCAATAGGTCCGCCACCCGGCTTCCGAGTGGGGCAAGGTGACTGCCCAGACACCATTGGGATTATCATGTTGCAAGTGTTCAACTAAGTCCAAATCTTAGTGGTTTACGGAAGCTCCTGGCATAGGTAGGCAACCGGCCGGGGTGTTACACGACGGCCAGACGACGGCCGGGGTAGTAGAGTAGGGTGGATGAGCAGTTAATTACAAGAAATCCAACAAATGCACATAACACTAATGACCACCGCTGGATAAGCTTATAAATCGTAACAAACGTCACCTGCAAACCGAAATTTCCTTTCAACTTTTGGTTTCGGAACATGGGCGACTGAAAGTTCTCTTGCATGCCTAGCTGCCTGCGCTAACAATTGTACCTAAGTTTGAAAACCCTTTTGCTGGTAATAATTATACTATTAATGCTTTCTTCGATGACGAGTCAACCTCACGATTATTGTTATTGCTATCCTCTGCCTTCCTGACGGAGCACCTTCAAGTTAATTTTAAGTAACTGCTCTTAAAGGGAGTCTCTGCATCACAGTGCAGAGGCAGTCACCTGCTTTCAGCTCCATGGGGTGTTCCTACTCTGGTGATTGAACTTTAGGTGATATTGGATATCATTACTACGAGTCAACTGGCTGTGGTGCATTAGGGCGAATGGGAGGTCGCGCTTTGCTCAGTTTGCCTCAGGGCTTCAATTGGTTCCTGATTTTGGTCACAGTCATCGTGAGCCTATTGGTACTTGCTGGATGCATCTATATACTTGTCGAGTATCAACATCCGGAGGACCGCAACCAAGCATGGGTTCCCAAGATTATCGTCGTCCTCTCTATGGCGCTTGCTATTTGGACAGTGCTCATGTTTCCTCTTGACGTGGGAAATACAAATGCCTGCGCGTCAAACATTTCCCCCAGCGCTTGCACATATACGCTGCCTATGACGCAGCTTTGGTATGCTGTCTTCATATCGAACTTGGTTTTGGTCTTTCTCATCATACCTTTCACGCTCTTCTTCTATGAAGCCGACAGCGACTAGTAAGTCGGGAGGGTGATATGAGACGGAGGGGATTTGAGCAACGCTATACAAGGGCAGGGGGCCCTTCTGTGCCCCTTGTTATGCAGGATGCCCGTGCACAACCCAAGTCACTCCTTTCCAGTTTATGTGCGTGACGTAGTCCCATGCAACTGCATACGTTGCACCTTTACGACGTAACCTGTGGCGAATTTCCGTGGCTCCACCGTGAATCGCCTGCCTCACGTAGGGCCCATCTGGGTCGCGCACCCTATCTCCTCCGATGCCGTTGACTCTCGGGCCACGACCTGTCACAGCAACTCGGCGCTCTCCAGCTCCTAGCCCCCAGCGCTAACCTTCACGTCATTTCCTCTATCTCATGCGGCTTTTTTCGCAACCTCTTGGGCTGACCCACATTCCGGTGCACGTTGTCCACGTGCCACGAATACCTGCTGCGCCCGCCCTGCCCACCGCCAGCACCTTCTGTCAGAAGGTCAAGGGGTCCTTGATGTGGACCGCCGGTTTCCTCATCTTCATCATCCTGATCATCGTAATTATGTATCGTGAGTCCGCGGCGGTGGTGCTGGACAGGAGGCGTGGCCAGGGCAGGATGGGCCGGGCGTATCAAGAGGCTCGGGACCGGGGGCTCATGTGGGGAACGTCAACAGTGTGTGGTGGTGGTGGTAGTAGTAGTTGTTGTAGTAGTAGTAGTAGTAGTAGTTGTTGTTGTAGTAGTAGTAGTAGTAGTAGTAGTAGTAGTAGTAGTAGTAGTAGTAGTAGTAGTAGTAGTAGTAGTAGTAGTAGTAGTAGTAGTAGTGATGTGCGCAGGGCAGGTGTTGCAATCGGCAGGGTTTAATGGCGGGTGGACACAGGACATGGCTTGCTGTTGTGCCGCCTGGCGCAGACGTCTCCCGGCAGCCCCTCACGTGCAGTCCATACTGTCACATGGAGTTCGGGCGACAGTTTGCGGCCCCTGTCCCACCAGTAAATGGGGTCTACGATCATGGTGCATAGCAGGGCTGCAGCCCAGCAGGTCATTTGCGGATATGGCCCCTTCCCGTGCAACGGTTCGCTTGGGGTGTGCGTTCAATGCCTGCGGGGAAGCAGCGGGGAGCCCGCGACGTGGCCCACACAGGCCGCCGATCTACTCACTGTGTCTTTTGTCTATGCGCGTCAACATTTACCCGCTGCCACACGCTATTTGACAGTGATAAGTGTTTGACAGTGATAGGATGTGTGCAACACTTGGGTGTGCTAGAACTTCCCAGGTCTCCGGCATGATGAAAGCCCGTGAAATTGTCCCAGTATCCTTTCCTTGTTCGCCGCATTCACACCGACACCTCTGCTTTCATCCCTTATGCTTCTGCGAACCCCTTGTTGCGCACTGCCCTGTGCCGGTGCATGTCTCCCACTTCCTGTGGCCCTATCTTTCGTATGCCCTTTCCTCCACACACACCCCTGATGCCCCCCTTATGATGCCCCCCTTATGATGCCCCCCTTATGATGCCCCCCATGGCCCGCTGTGACCCGCGCCTTGTTTGATTTCGCAGTGCTGATAGGCTACGTGGTGTATCCAACACAGGAGCTCACGTCGGGTGTGCGCAGCATGAACCTGCTGCAGAACATCAGCGCGGTTAACTCCACTTGCATCCTGCCGCTCACCTCTAACGCCACCAACACCACGGTGGCGGATATGCAGGTCCGTCTGCTCCCGGGGGACTGGGCCCTTGAGACGGGCGAATGAATGGTTTCGGAGAAGAGCATGCAGAATGCGGATTTCTGGGCTGCTAAAAGTTACTGCAGGATTTAGCCAGGCGTAGAAACCCACGAGCATCTGTATCTACGCATCCTTCGCAGGAGCGATATGTGCTGCTGCTAAAGCCACATCTTTCCTGTCCGCGGCCTGCTGCCTTCGATGCCATATTCTCATTTCATCATTTGAGGGTAGCACAGCTATCGGGCCACTGGGCCAGGGCCAGGAACAAGGAAAAGTCCCTTTCCTCCACGCCTCCAGACTGCCTCCAACCCTTTCTCTGCGTGCTATGGCCGTTGTTGTCGTTCGTCCCTCCGCAGTGTAGCGCCTTTGGCAGCAACTTCAAGTTCAACAACTGGAAGTTGCGCGTGTCGTTGCCGGTCTACATAATGGCGATACAGTCTGTGCTGGGTTGGCTGCTGTTCCTGGTTTTCGCGGGCGTGGGGCTGCTGGCCGCGCCCATCGACTGGTTGCAGGAATTCCTGGGGCGGCCCAAGGCGACCATCACCAAGTCGGAGTACATGCGGCGAGCAATGATTATAGCACAGAGGGCGAAACAAATTTTGGTGAGCGAGCTCACCGGGGGGTTTAGGGGTGGAAGTGTCCAGGGCTGGCTGTCGGAATGCGCCAGGGGAGCCAAGGGGACTCGACGGAGTGGGGAAGGCGTGTGTGGGATGTTTTTCCCGGGGCTCACCATGGGGAAAATTGAGGCACCGCCCGCTGCTAAATAGGCACGGTATCGCAAACGGACATGGGAACTGGACTGCATCGCAGCCCTGGAGCCAGCAGCGGCAGCTCCGCGGCGCTGTTCCCGGTCCGTATTCCTACCACAGACATTCGGTGTATCTCTGTATCCGGTCTCGGGTGGATGTTGTCCACTCTTATTAGAGTTACCATCCGCCCGTAGTAGTGCACATCTGTCTCACCGGTCCTCTAACCCGCGCTGCGCATCTCTCCCTCCCCGCTTTTGGGCCCCCCGTCCTGGTCCCGGCCCCGGTCCTGGTCCCTGTCCGGCTGCGCTACGGCCCCCGGGTCGTCCGCCCCGCCCCGTCGCATGGTCCGCGTGATTCATCATTGCCTACCGGCGGACTCACGGAACAGAACATGCTGCAGTTGCTGCGCCGCGGCGAACGTGACCGTCGGTGGCGCAGCAATTTCCAAAAGCTGCAGCGCGAGGTGGCGCTACTTGAAGATGACGAGTACCAACTGGAAAGAGTGTTCCCGCAGGTGTGTGTGTGTGTGTGTGTGTGTGTGTGTGTGTGTGTGTGTGACCGACTGCAGAGCCCCCGACGGGCACGTTGCGTCTTGGTTTGTGTGGTGAAGCGGGGGTTTTCCGCGGCGTGATTTCGATGACGTCAAATGTTTTACGCACACGTGAGCTGTAGTCTGCACTTTGTTTTGTGTTCTTCTTTCTTTTCCTGGCTTGCTTGCTTGCTGTCCTCCTCGGCTGACGCCTGATGCGTACAGAGCCGTCAGATAGCCCTCACTGCATGCATTCCCATCTCCACTCTTCGTGGGAAAGATACGCGGCGATTGCCATTACCTACACCACAGCACTCTTACCCATCCTTGCCTGTTCTTCCCGCTTTGGATGTTCACACCCAGTTTGTTTTTGCATCTTCCCCAAACTTACCGCTGCTTCCCGCCTTCGCTCCCTCCGCGCTCCAACCGTCAACGTATCGCCATCATAATCTCCACGTCCCGCTCGCTGTCTCCTCCCGTTCTTTTTTCAGGGCGAGGACGGCGAAGTCCGCTGGGTGCTGTTCATGATCGGCTTCTACCTGCTGGGCTTCATGTCCTTCGTCGGCTTCTGCCTGACGGGCATCTGGGTCGCGCACATCATCGCCTACATGCTGCCGCCCATTCCGCTGCACCCCTTCCTGAACATCATGTTTGTGGTGCTGGACGACGTGTTTCCGCTTTTTGGCACGGCGGCCTTTGCGCTCTTCTGCCTCTACCTCATGTCAGTGGCCATGAAGGGCAACTTCATATTGGGTCTCAACTTCTTGATCATCAAGCTCTACCCCATGCGGCCCGGCGCAACGATGATGTCATCGTTCCTCGTGAACACGGCCCTTATCTTGGTGATGGCTCCGGCCATTGTGCAGTTCTGTGCTCAGGTGCGTGGGGGCCCGTGTGGGGCTTAGGCATGCACACACACATACACACACAGCACACACACACACAAACACACACAGCACACACAGCACACACACACACACACGGGGATGTGCGAGTGCGAATTGTCATGCGCGGGTTGTCATGGGCTTGCGAGGCTGGGCGCGCGTGAGCGAGCGGGACAAATGACCGGCAGTGTGGTCTTTTGCGCGTTCGCCCCTTCAATTCTCCTTCGTTTTCGTTCCATCGTTGCATTCCTCCATCCATTCGATCACGTGGGTGTGTCGCTTTAGCGCCCTTACCACTGCTCCTTCGCCGCTTTGGTTTTGCTTGAAGCGGCCAGGGGGGGCGGAAGGAAGCTGCCAGGCGGCAAGGTCCCTTGGGGACATCCACCTCCGGACATACAATTTTCCCCCACAGTCCTAGCCGCCGCGCCCCTTACCCGTCATCCTTTTCACCTCCCATCTTCGCAATCCGCATCCCTGATATCCACACCCAATCACGATTGTATCCATCACGCCGCAAGCTATCTGGAGTCTCGCTCGCCGCGCCTCACCTCGTCTTCGTTTTGCCCTTGTACCGCACCCCCAGGCATTTGCCGTGTACGCCGACGGCACCTCTATCTTCGACGTGTTTGGCAACCAGGTCATGTACCTCATCGGCATCAAGTATATATACAACTTCAATATTTTCCTGTACGGCATGTTGTCGGTCATGGTGCTGTCCGGAATCTTCCTGGCCTTCCGCGGCAAGAAGGTCTGGAAGCGGCGGAATCCCTTGGAAGCCTACGCCGTGGTTGACTAACAAGTTGCGGTCGCGCCAATATGAGCGTGTCGCTGCAATTTGAGGGTGCTGCGTGTGTGCGCACGTGTCGCCAAAACTCATGACGCCGCCAAGGACGTCTTGTTTCTGGGGCAGTTCTGGGGGAATCTCTCCTCCTCGAGGCTCACAGTGTGTGCTCACAGCTGTGGGAGGGTGGCTGCAAAGCGAGACGGAAGGGCACGGAGACAGACGGAGATGGCTACACGCAACTAGCCGTTCGTTCAGTTTCCTCCGGGCCATGGTACCGTACTTCGAGCTTGATTGACTGCGGGGCTAGGCTGTGGCATTCGCGACTTGCCGCCGGCTCAGAAGCTGTGAAGAATCGGTGTGAGGTTCTGCGGTTGGTCGGGTGCCGGTGTGTGAAACCTTTAAGATATATGGGCGTCGGGACAGTGGGGGTGTCATCGAACTGGCGTTGAGACATGCATGACTTGCACAACAGTTGCAACTGCACTTTGGCCGCTGAGCGATTCCTTTAGTGTTAGTTATTGATTGCTATATTTTATTTTTACGGGGACGCGCTTGTTGGGCTGCTTGTGGTCCGTACTCGTGCTGTGTGCAACAGCAGCAGCGGCGACTGTTCGAAGGGCTGTCCTCGTCACGGGTCATTTGGGTCCGTCTTTCCCACTTCAGAGTAGATGATAGCTACAGATTTAATTACAGGAAAGAACGAGGTTTATCGCGGTCGAAACAGGACGGTTTGTTATTAGAGTGCTTTGATACGTGGAGGCGGGGCGAACGTGCAACATGATAGTGCCTGTTTCCGCAGCGGGCCCTCTGTGCGTGCGTGTGTGTGTGTGTGCGGTTGCCTGCGGCGCTTTCTTTCGGTTGGACGAGTGTCGGCATACTGGCTAGTGCAGGTTGGCTGTGTCAGTGACGAGAAAAAGAACAGGTGGAAGAGGAGCCACTGTAATTCTCAAATTGGCGCTATGGGCGACTGACAGGCTTTTGGCTCTTCGCAACACCTTACACGCCAGCATATTTTGCGTGGCCATGAGTTCCAGCTGGCATTTGCGCGCTTCTTCACTATTAGATGTCCTTCCCTACCTAGGGTCGGGTTGCGGGATGAGCCTCATCGCTCCTGCACCTCTTGATGAGCCAGGCTTGACAGTGCTGCTAGGAATCCATGGTCTGAGTCCATCCCATTGTAGATAGCGGGAATAAGCAAGAACTGTTCCCAGGCAAAATAGCGTGAGGGAAAAGGCAAGCATCCTTGCATTCGTGCAAGCTCCATGATAAACACATGACACCACCGATGCAAGGCAAATCTCACCCGCGAAGTGCTTTATGTATTCGTAACGCCGCAGTCGTTACGCCGCAGGCAGTCCAAGCTTCACAATGAGCTCCGGAACCAAAAGCAGGTCTCCACAAGCACGGCTTAAAGAAGTTATTCATAGCACAACTGTGTACTCTTACCCATACCTTAGTCGTTTTGCATATGGTCTTCTCCGCTTGCGACATCACCTCCGTGCAAGCCATGTCAAGATACCGACAGCCCCTCTACATTGCCTGGCATTGTATGCTCAATCGATGACGAGATATACGAACATTCATTGTGTCAATGGAGATCTAAAAACATTGCTCATAGTATATAGTCTTTCAGCGACCAACCCGGTAGTTACATATTAGAAAGTATGAGTATTCACCAGCGGTTTGGGTACATTGCTGAGATACCGCCCAGGTCATCGGCACGGCGCGGAAATGTTAGGCACGCCTCGGGCATGTATGGTTTTCTCTGGCCAATCCACTCCCGGCTCGGAGTCCATAAGCCCAGGTCCACAGGCCTAAACGTGCCGCCCTGTATCGCGCGTTCTGCGCCCTTAGAGTTCACGACGCCGGCTTCTGCGTCCACGCCTCTGCCCGCAGAGCGTGCCGCTCCGTTGTGCAGTGCCACCAGCGTAGCGGTTGACGCAACCGCCCAGTCTTGTGACTTGGATCTTGGTACATTAACCACGACAGCAACACACAACGAAGGCTCTCCCGCAGCCTCTTTGGAGCTCCTGCCGCATCCGCCATCGGGCGGTGATACCCTGCCTGGCTGTCCCGAACCGGGCTCAGGCCCCAATGCTGACCCCTCACCCGAGTCGCCTCCCCCGAACGCGAACCCGTCCGCCGCCGCCACCGCCTCGCCTGAAGCCGCCTCTTCGGACACCTCCGCCGATGCTGCCGCCGAACCAGCAACGGAGGCTCCTTGCTGCCCTGCCACAGCGGCTATGGTGCCAGCGACGCCAGCTGGTGACGACCATGCTCCAGGACAGGTACCCTCCGGAATTCCTCCAGTTCCCAGGGAAGCCGAGACGGAGCCAGAGGCGGTGGCGGACGCCAGCAGCAGCGGCTCGCGTATTTCCTGGCCGAGCAACCGCAGCTACATGAGCACCAGCAGCACCAGCAGCACCAGCAACACGGGCCGCTCTGGACCGCCTGTGTATGCGGCCGCGCTTACCAACACCTACATATGGCCCAAGCCGCAGCCCAACCCCCGGGCGCGGCCAGCCTTCCTGGCTGATTACCCAGTGCCTCCGGGTAAGACATTCAACGTCAACTCTTTCCTAGGCAAGAGAGATCCGCACCGAGGCCACTACCTGGTTCCGGAGCGCAGGTACCGCGCTTTCCTGGACTCCTACGTGTCCGCACTCGAGAAGGGTTACCAGATGTATCTAACCGAAAACTACCACCAGGGGGTGTACAAGTTCTTTTTGGAGTTTGACTGGGACTGGGATACCGACCTGATGCTGGTGATGGAGGTGACCCCGCAGCTCATCGCCCTCGCGACCCAGATCGCCAGCGAGTTTTACGGCCTGTCGTACCCTAACGTCATCACGTCCATCCGTACACCGTACAAAGTTCACATTAACTTCCCGCAGCTGCTCACCACGGAGTTGCTCGCGTGCCTCTGTCGTGACCGACTGCTGAAAGCGTGTGTGGAGCAGTTGGGGCCGCGGTACGGCAGCAGGGTTGACTGGGAGCGACTGATCGACTTCCCTCACGGCAGTCTGCGGCTGATGGGATCTCGGAAGGCGAGTCACATGGACAGCGACCCGGCGTGGGTGCGCGATAAGGCCTACCACCCAGCGCGCCTCACTTCCGACGGGCGGTGGCGGCCGGGGCGCATTACAGCTGCACTTCTGGCCGCTGCCAGCATCTTCCCGCCTCCGCACCAAGTGGCGGCGTTTGAGCGATCCCCCGCCTACCTCGATATGATCTACTCCGACTTGCAGTGGGTACGGGTACCGGGGGCCTGATCGATGGGTAGTAGTGGGTGATGATGTTGTGAGCTGGCGAGCTTGGAGTCCGGGTCTGGGTGCCTTAAGACTAGAGGTAGCGAGCGACCTGCGAGTCGGCCGGCTGTCGGTTGCGCCGCTGCTGTGGACGCGTGGTGTACACTTTACGAACGCAGCGCTAGTGCACGTGCGTGTGCGTGTGCATGTGTGTGTCTGTGTGTATATCTGTGCGCACTTTGCGGAGGGGTGTATACCTAGCAGCGGCCACATGCACCGCTGGCGGCACCTTTGGGGCTCAGACCCCACCCGCCTCTGACCCCACCCAGACCTGCGCGGGTCCCTCCACCCGGCTGCCACTCAATTCTTCGCCACACAACCAACACGCGTGGCCCCGAAACCAAACCGTCACCTTGCTTCCGACCCGCTGTCGCAACCGCCACTGCCTATTCTCTTCAGGGCCAACCAAAAGAGGATGGAAGAGCGCCAGCAGGAGCGCGCACGTCGGCGGGCGGAACGGGAACAGCAACAGCACCCGCAGCAACAGCTTGACGGCGCTGGCGGTTCAGGAGGATCCTGCGAGCAGGCGCCCCTTCTGAACCTGCCCCCAGGCAGCAGTAAAAACCCGTTACACGTCGGTCTGGAGGTGCGGCCAGACGAAACGGTGAGTCAGCGAGCGGTACGGCGTACCCCCCCGGGGCTGTAACCCCCTCCGTAGGGCCCTCACACTGACTCACAACAGGGTGCGACCTCCTGGGCGCATCCTCGAGCTTGTTAGGGCCGATGATTGATGCGCGGCCGGTGGGGAGTAGAGTAGTAGCAAGAAGGTGGCTGGTCGGAATGGCGGCTTGTGAGATAGCCACACTAAACCAAGTAGATGCAATGGGGGGGGGGAAATTGAGCTGGTTTCACATGTGCTGTCTATTCACATTTTGTGACACAAGACCGTGCGTGCATTTTGGTGTATATACGACATTCCACTCGGTCCTACCCCGCCCGTGTGCTTAATAGGAGTGATGGCAGTGGTGGTGGTGGTAGGTGGTGGTGGTAGGTAGTGGTGACGCCCTCTTAAGACAAGATGTCCTGTATCGGGACTAGGATTACGACTTTGCTTGAAGGGGGGGGCCGAAGGCGGGAGCACGGGAAAGACCTGGTGTTGGACCCATGGTTCCGCTTCGTGGGTCAGGGCGCATCAGGAATAATACACGACTCCATAAAACTGCTTACACCCGCACGCGCCACTTGCCCCTTCCACACACAGGTCGCCCTCAAAGTGTACATCAAGTCTAAGTACCGCCAGAAGAACCAGAAGAGTTTTGTTTCCAGCTTGCAGCCGGGGGAGGACGCGGCGGCGGAGGCGGCAAAGACGCGCCCCTTAGAGCCGTCGCCCCAGAGCCCACAGGCCGTGGATGACACGGCGGGTACACGGCAGGACCCCGATGCGGCGGCGGCAGTGGTGGGACCCACAGCGGCGATATCAGCAGCCGCGAACGCGGCAGCGGACTCTGGGGGCAGTGCGGCGATTACCGAAGTACCGTCGGAAGGGGCAGTTGTGAAGTCGTCGTAAAAGACTTGATGGCGGCGTTGTGGGAGCTGTGTCTGCCGGTGGCGCGGGTTAGCGGGTGGCGGGTGCGACGACGGCCTGGTGGGCTGGTCAGGAGGGCTCCATGTCCGAAGAGCCTGTGGAAGCGAAGTGGCGGTGGCGAAAGGCGGCGGATTTGCCAAAGCCCGCAACAGAGAGCCCGACACAGTTGCAACCAAAGGTGGCGGTGGAGGAGGAAGAGGGAAGGCCACACGGCGGCGGCGGCGGCAGGTCCCCAGAGGGAAACCTGTCGTAATGACGTCGTAATCGAGGCTGCAGTAGCAGCAGTAGCCGTGGCCTCTTTTTCTAATGGGGCCAAAGGGGCCTTAAAGCGGGTTCCGGAGCCATTAGGGGCACTAGGGCGTGGGCCGCAGCGGCCTCGGGTGGTCCAGTGTGGGAGGACACGGATAGGCTTCTCGAGGTTGGTCCGACGTTGTTGTGTGTGTTATTTCGGGCCGTTATCTCTGTAAAAGCCCCCATGGAGGGGGGCCAATGGACGGTCAATAGCCGTTATTGTGGCGCTCCGAGTGAGGACGTGTTGACGCCCTCCCCCGCATGCTCGCCTGGGCTCAGTACGCGCCTCTGAGCGCGATGCGCCTCACAGTGGTTTCCCAGACCCCCGAGGGAGAGCTAGCCACACAGCTGTGTGTGTGTGTGTGTGTGGCTGTGGGGAAACGGCTGCCGCCATTATAGTTATACGCATTTCGCGGCCTCGGAGGTTCTCATATCCCATCTTCGTGTTTAGTTCGAAGGCAACCATAGGCCGGTGGGCATTAGGCCTGTCAGTTAACTTCCAGTTCTCAATACCCTAATAATGTGAAACGCATGAGCACCTGGTGCAATGGCCTGTATAGGCAACACAGCCTTAGTTGCCAGTAGGGATGCATCGTCGGCGAAAAGCAAGTTGGCGGTGAGATTCCAGTCCACTGCATCCAGCCCGTAGGCCTGCTTTACGATCAGGGCGGCGCAGCAGGTGCGACATTCGATGCCATGTGCATCAATATATTGGGCAAGCACCTAAATGAAAAGTCCGAAGAGTGTCACACTTCAAGGGAATTAACCCCTTTATAACCCAAACGGCCAACTGAAAATACGGATCTAAGCCAACTACCAAACTTGACGGGGATTTTAACTTGGGTGTAGCTAAAAGCCTCAAGGGTGTCCAGGTTGCGCCCGTGTAGGCCATATGCTTATAGGAAACGCCAGAGCGTTATGTGGTCAATTTTTGAGTCGAAAGCCTATCTGTATCCCGAAAAGTGGTCTGGAGCCGGTCAATTCATACTCAGGAATGAGGTGCCGCAGGGTAAATGACCGTGCGCCGTGCCAAAGCCACTCCTACATCCCGCCTGGCGCGCGGCGCGGGTACCGTTACCCTCACAGAATTTGGTAAGCCAGCGTGCGATCACTGTGTTATAGAACTTGCGCAGCGGGGCCCCAACAGCGATGCCCCGACAGTTATCACAGCAGAAGGCGTCACCCTTCTTAAAGACGGTGGATGGTGTGCTGGCCGTACAGGAGTGTGGGTACGCAACCCCCGTGCACGCGGTTTAATAATGACGTCAGGTAGGTGCAAGCACGTGCCTGGGTCGCCCATGAACCCCCGCACAAGTTGCATACTGGTAGTATTCAGCCCGGACGCCTTCCAATCCTGCGGATTTTTTATTGCGCATGGGGTTGGTACGGGCTCGGGAAATCCTCTCCCGCATCTCAAGTAACTCGGGCTCAAGGATAGCAGCTTCCCTCGCTAAATGAGAAGGTACACACGACATAATGACCGATGAGGCCATATGAACGCAAAGCAAGGCGGCGTTGGTAGCTTTGATATGCGCGGGGAGCGAGAAGTCTCACTGCGCAGGATGCCGATTTGGGTAATTTAGCTATAGCAGTGACCTTCCAGCCTACTTGGTAGGAATGGATGGCGGCAGGTGCAGGTTATTACTTGTCATACAACTAGGATTGCACATTTGCAGCAATCTTAGGAAATTTTCTTTCCGCGGCCCATCGATACGAAGGTTTTCTCGTACGTCTACCTGAAAAGTTTGGGCTACTTGTACGGCAACATAAAGTTGTTCTCAAGTCGGTTAACTTGTGTCAGGACTTTCATCATTACGCATTACAACTTTGTTAGTATATTGGAATAGGTTGTATCATCAACACTAGACTTTACCCCTATCCTCTAGACTTACTATATTACGCACCAACTGGGCTTTCCATGACAGCAACGTGTTGAGCAAAGACCAGTTCGCTGGTCACTGGAGAACCAGTGAGCTCAGCGGGCGGAGAACAAAAGCTGCAGGCGATAGCGGGTTGGACAACCTTCGAAGCCGACGGGGGCCGCCATGAATGAGACAATTGTTGGCGGAAAGTATAGGCTGGGGAGGAAGCTTGGAGGAGGGTCATTTGGCGAGATTTTCCTAGGTAAGCACAAGAAGAAGGGCATGTCAAGTTCAACGGGAACCTCTTGCCAAACTAGTTTAAAATATTGCAGGCACAAATCTTCAGACAGGCGAAGAAGTGGGAGTGAAGTTGGTGGGTAAATCGGCGTCTTGCGCGCGGGGTCGGAGTCGCGACGTGGGGGCAACACTGGTCGGGGCCCGTTTCGCATGCAGGAGCCGGTCAAAGCTCGTCATCCACAGCTCTTGTATGAGTCCAAGCTTTACAAGATACTGCAAGGCGGCGGTGGGTGCAGGGCAGGGGCAGCAATAACAACTTCGCCGCACAGACGGCGAAATGGACATGCTTTGTAATCAATCAATCCTGTTTGCAGTTGGAATACCCAATCTGCGTTGGTATGGAATTGAGGGCGAGTACAATGTCATGGTTATCGACTTGCTGGGACCAAGCCTTGAGGACCTGTTCAACTTCTGCGGAAGGAAGTTCAGCGTGAAGACGGTGCTGATGCTTGCGGATCAGATGATCTCCCGCGTGGAATACCTGCATTCACGGAGTTTCATCCATCGCGACATTAAGCCAGATAACTTCCTTATGGGGCTCGGCAAACGTGCCAATCAAGTGAACATCATCGACTTCGGCCTCGCTAAAAAATATCGGGATCCCAAGACGCACCAGCACATCCCATACTGCGAAAATAAGAACTTGACTGGGACGGCGCGGTACGCTAGCGTGAACACGCACATGGGCATTGAGCAGAGCCGGCGTGACGACCTCGAGTCGTTGGGTTACGTCTTCATGTACTTCCTGCGGGGAAGCTTACCCTGGCAAGGGTTGCAAGCAGCTACAAAGAAGCAGAAGTACGAGAAAATCAGCGAAAAGAAGATGAAAACCCCTTTCGAGGTGCTGTGCAAGGGTTTTCCCCAGGAGTTCGTGTTATACTTCCAGTACGTGCGCGCTCAGCGGTTCGACGAGAAACCCGACTATTCGTACCTCAGGCGGCTCTTCCGTGATCTATTTGCGAAAGAGGGTGAGCAGGTTAAGCACAGTTCCGGGTTGCGCTGCAACCCTCTTCTACATGCAATTCCCGCCCCCCATATGTGCAGCAGCTGGTGCACAGGCTGCGCAAGACTGGAGCAGTTCCGGGAACGCACCTGTCACCCCATGGCATAGTCGGGACACGATCCATGGGAACCGCTGTAAGAGCAGTAATTGCCATACGCGTCTGGTACGGTCTAGACCGGGTACTTCAAATGTTAAAGCCCATGTGGTTTGTGCAACCGGTTTGCCTGCCAGGCTGGACCTGGGACTACGTCTTTGATTGGACGATCCTCAAGTACCAGCGGTCCGCAAACGGCGCGGTGGAGCGGCCGGTGGCGCTGCCGGATGCCACAGCAGCGCGGCCATCGGGGCTGTTGGAGAGCGCAGAGGCGGGCGGCTCACGCGTGCGGCGGTGAGTGTGAGGAGCCCAGGGACGAGAGCACGTCTGCACGACGTGCTTTGACGAAGCAAAAAACTGTTTGCATGGTGTACAAGTGCTGGGATGCACATGGATATTGTTGGTGGGCGAGGCGGAGATGGGTCGGAATGCTGTATGCATGCGTGCATATGACGCACGTTTTGTAGACGGGACGTGTCGGTGTCCTTGGCCCCGTAATTTGGGGTCGGATATGTGCATTCCGGACGGCTGACGGTGTGGACGACGAACGATGATTGGAATTCCGGATGACTGGCAGTTAGCCTCTGGCTTATGTTTGAAGATTACTTTCGGTCCTGGTGTCTGGTGTTGCGTGGGGGCCCTGCATCGGTATGCCGCTGGCGTTGCGGCAGCAGCATCCTAATGTACATGCGAGAGTTCGCAGGCAGCGTTGACAGCGTACGTTTGTACTGCAGGGATGAGGAGGCGGACCGGAACAAGGACCTGGCGCGCACGGGCACGGGCATGCGGAAGACGTTGGTAGGTCGCTATTAGGGTCTTAAGTGCACAGCAGCGTTTTCGGTGACCACCTCGGTGCACCCATGGCATCTCGCGGCGAGCTGTTTCGTGGATGATGCTTTACTAGCTTGTATTGATTCTTGTATGCTGCTCCCTTTTGTACCGTGATTTGGGGGCGCCTTGGCTTTGTCGAGTCTTGTCGATCCCATGTGTAAGCTAGACGTTGTTGATTGCGTGAGCTGCAGCGAGGCTTACCCCCCTGGGCCTGCTTCCCTTGGGAAATATCCACTAATGTTAATGTGCTTGCGGTGGCATTGCGCAAGGCCCTCATGCGGGACTTCAAGTTTAGAAGTACGCGATCATTTGCTATCCCACTTCTCGCCCCGCAGCAAGCGCTCTTTTCGCGGGCATGATATTGAGCTGAACGGCGCGACATGAAGGCCAGCTGCCTCAGGCACAGCGTGAGTGCGGGTCTGCTTGAAGCGCCAGTGCAGTGGAAACGCGGCAGTGGATGTGCGACTGGCAGCTGCAGGCTTGTTGGCTCATTCAGCAGGTGATGCAACGGGGCCTCCCACGCCAAGAAGTGGTGTGAGATTTAAGAGCCCTACGCTATGTTAGTGTTGGTGAAGGAAGCTAGGCAGTATAGTTACGAGACGTTACTAGGTAGCGGTAGAGCGAGGGTGCGTAGGCGGGGTGGCGCCGGGTTAGGGCAGAGTGTGTCCGCATTGTATGTTCTACTGCTGTTCTTGTGCTGTTGAGCGAGTTAGAACTGGAGTGTGGGTTTCGCGCGGCATTTGTTTATAATATTATTGCCATGGAGAGCCGCAGCGTGGCCGGCCGACTGGCACAGGAACGACTGGTCGGCTGGCCAGGTGGTGACGGTCGAAACCGTGTGTAAAAAAGTTAGGCCCTGCTCAACAGGGTGGGTAGTGCATAATCGACGTTTTCAAGAGCAATGACGGACGGGTGCGGGGTGCAGCGGTGTCCCAGCGCTATTCGCGTGACGCATGGATTATTGCTGCTGCTGCTGCGGTGGCGGTGGTGGTGATGTGCATGGTGTAGCGCTGCGGAGGCGCTGTTGCTGCCCCGAAAGCATGTAAGGGCCATTGGTGGGGTTCTCTTGAGTGTGGGACGCTGACAGACTAACGGCCGTAGCTTATTCATGCGGGCCGTCGTTGTGACTATCATGGGTGGCGGCATTGGTGAAGACGGCCGGATTGGTTGTGTTTGGCTCAAGTCTTGATTGTGGGGTTTAGATTGGCCGGATCGGGGTTTATCTGGGGGAACGCATGCTAGTATTGGGGATAACAGAAGCCCGTGGGAGGTGAATTGCCATGGGTTAATTGCGCAGAAGTAAATGTAGGGGAATGTGCCGGCCCGCTACCCCTCATGTGCAAGTTGCATTGCATGGGCTGCATGTGTATGCCGGTATGAACAGCTGATTGCTTACTGCCGGATGTGTCTAGGTGTTGTAGAGACTTTTAGCTCGTGTAGATGAATGACTTGAACGGTTGGCTCGGTGGGAACGATATATGCCTGCCTATGATGTGCTTTATACATGGCAGGGTTGGATTCGACCAATTTTGCGGACGCAGGACAGACAGGCATCGTAGATGGTTCCAATGCTCTAAATCCACCTATTGGGGTGGAAACCTGAGTGAGTGGTGCATTCCAAATACATGATGCCCTTATTTCAGAATGGTTCAATAGTACATTTAAGGCCATGATTGCTTTCCGAACGTTGGGTCCAACGTTGCGTGCTTGTATCTCACGATACGCAAGCTGAAGCCGTTAGATGATACATATTATTCGAGCTTTGAGAAGATTCTCGTGCAGGTGGAAGAGGAATCTTTAGTTCACATATAAAGGGTCCCGCCTGGCAAAGAGCTGCTTTGAATCCGAATGGCTTTGCACATGATGCGTGTCAGCGGACCTCTTTTGAACAGTAATTCCCTTCTCCTTCAACCGTGCCAGCCGGAAGATACTTTACTTGCGTGACAACCGTATGAGACAAAAAACTTGTTCCGGTGGTACGACCTATCGCCTATGGAAGGTGCCCGTTAGACAGGGGCAATTGTCCTAAAACTTGCAAAGACATTGTGGAATGCTCGTTACGACTTAGAGCAGGTGCTAGACTACCTAGTACACAGCGTAGGGTGAACGGTTGAGTCTGAGAGTTTCTGAACACCCATAGGAAATAAAGAATGCGGCTTATATTCTTGTGTTTAGCTGTCACAACAGCACTTCTACAAGTAGCTAGAGGTATGAAGATGTCCCAGCTTATCAGTTTCGGATTAGGTCCTTGGCCGTTCGTCATCAGCTCCAGGACTGCCTTAAACCTCAGCTAATTTGCACTCCTCGTGGAATTCCTTTTTTCGCTTGACACATTGGTACCGGCAGTCGTTTCAGCTGTAGCGTGTTTGCCTGCCGGTACCCTGCAGGCGCCCGCCTCTCTGAGGAGCGGCTCATTGGATGGCAGGGCGAGAAGTACAGTCCATTTTCTGAAGGCGCAAGCGGCGGCGTCATTGGGACCACCCTTCGGTCTGCGAACACTACCTACCGGCCAGCATGGTAGGTCTCTGCTGCTGCTGGCCCCTGGCAAGCTTCACATATCACACCTAGCGACACAAACAACGCCAGTCGATCAACATGCCCATCTGGACTCCCACCTCGGCAGGGGCGCGCACGCTAGGGATGTGGGAACCCCTGCCTGCCCCCACGCAGCCCCCACTCCTCCTCGCATGCCCGCCCTCCTAGCCGGCCGCACAGCAGGGATGCAAGTCCACGCTAGGCCACGCACACGTCACACACGCGAACCCTCGGTTCCGCTCCATTGTGTCTGCTGACTCTCGGCAGCGGCTGGCGTCATCCTGACGGCGGCGACGATGAGAACCTACCCACACGTACGCCACGCTGTCAGTCCCACCAGCTCTTGAGTTTCCCCGCCCCCAAACACACAGCCACGTGTTCGAAACGTGTGCCACACGCTCGACGTGTGTGTACTTAAAACACACCTTGCAACCCCCAAAGGAACCACCACATTACTGGACTGTCCAAATCGAAATCTCGCTGGAGGAGAGCTGCTGTTCCGCACCCGCTGCAATGCCGCTTACCTCGCCCTCACTCCTCCCTCTCTCGGACTTCCCACGGAAAGCCAGGGAAACCCCGCCCTCCTACCGCCAGTCCCACTTCCAATCCCTTTCCCAACTCCCAACCTGCAGGATTCAGACCATCAGCTGGAAGCCCCGGGCGGTGGTTTATCACAACGTAGGTAGTAGTGGGCCAGCGGCTGGCGGCACGTGAACCCATGTGTGCGTGCGTGTAAGAGGGGGGAGGGGGACCGGAGGTGTCCATCTGGCGGCGGCCAACATGGGGGGCAGTAGGGGGAGTCGGTGCGGCGACTGGCCTGTGGTAGCTTGCGAGCTGTAGGGGCCACCGGTGTCCAGTTCCTGACCTGTGGGGGAGAATGGTGGTCAGGCCGGGGGCGAAGGAGGCCGCCCACCTGGCCAACCTCTCTTGTGGGTGGGGGAGGGGCTGGGGGGAAAGAGGCCCGAATGGGGTTCAGCAATCGCAGCGCCCTGCGGCTTGCCATGTCCTGGCACATGTCCATAGCCACGAGTGCTAGGCGGACGGGGGGGAGTGACGGGACGGGACGGGAGGCGGGTTTCGGGGCTGCTGCCGGGCTGGGCCAGGGCTGCTGCGGCCTGGTCCTTGGGCGCGGGCTGGCGGGGGGCCCCTGGAAGGTGAGGACGAAGGTATCCCGTTTGGGTGCGGCGGCGGTGGGGGGAGTAGCAGAGGGGGCGGCAGGGGCAGTGAGCGGGAGGCCGAGTTGGGGAGGAAGGAAGCGGCAAGGAGCTGTGGCGGCACGAGCAGAAGACGGGAGACACGCCGGCCCGGCCCGGTGCTGCTGGGGTGGGCAGGTAGTCGCGAGCTAGGACGGCTCTGGCCCCCCTAGGGCCCCCTAGGGGGGTATCACAGCGGGGTAACCTCCGCCACTACCTGCTTGATGTGATGGGTGCCTGTGTACCTACCTCCCCACCTCTGCGCATGTCTGCGCTCCGTCCCCTTCTTTGACCTTTGCTGCTCTCAGTTCCTGAGTGACCAGGAGGCGCGACACATCATTGATCTGGCGCATGAGCAGGTGGGGGGGGGGGTGCCCGGGATCGAAGGAAGGAGGAAAGGGAGGGAGGGAGGGGGTGGGATAGTGCGATAGGGCAGGGGACAGCAAAGTTGGTTGTTTGGGGGGTGGGGGGAAAGAGGGGGATGATGAGGTGAGAGCGGTAATGACGGGATAGGGACAGGGGAGGGTTGCGTAGCACCGATGTGGTTCTTGTCGGTCTGTCCGTGCATCCAGCTGACCGCCGGGGCGGGGAACGGACGCGGGGCGAGGGAAAAAACACGACACGCAAATGTCGCCTCTCGTTGGAATGAGAGAGTGTTTGTGTGTGTATATATGTGTGTGTGTTTGTATGTGTATGTATGTGTATATACATATATGTAACATGTATATATGTCTGTTTGCGGCCCGCCGGGTTGTGACGCAGATGAAGCGGTCCACGGTGGTAGGCAACAAGAACGAGGGCGTCGTAGACGATATCCGTACATCGTACGGCACGTTCCTCAGGTGCGGCCCGTGTACACACTCACGCTCGCTCAGGCGACAGGGACACGCATCTCACTGTCGCTATCGCTGGGGAGGGAGCATTTGCGCACTTGGTGCAGTGGCTCCTAGTCCTCTCTCTTTGTCCACCGCCACCACCGCCACCATATGAGTCCCCACCCCCACCGCCACCACCGCCACCACCGCCTCCGCTTGCCCCTAGGACCCGATTGCCCGAGTGTCTAGACGCCCCTTTGGGACCAGGGAGGGTACCTAGGACCCCCTGCAGGTGTTCACCTGAGAGCGACACTCGGCTCACACTCGAGCTTTGAGAATTGGGCTCACGAGGACTTGCCGCAGTGTGGTTATTTTACTGGTCAACAGCACGCCTGCGGGGCCCCCCCCACCTCCGGCTCCACAGAACGTATCGCCATGTAATTTCCCCGACCGCATCCCCCCCCCCTCTTCCCTGGCAGCAGCTTCAATCGTGTGTGGTTCGTCCTTCCCCCTCTTCCCCCTCTTCCCCCCGCCCAGGCGAGCCCAGGACCCAGTTATCATGGCCATCGAGGAGCGGTTGGCGCTGTGGTCGCACATGCCCCCCTCCCACCAGGAGGACATGCAGGTGCGTGTGTGTGGGGGGGGTTGGGGGTGGGAGGGAGGGAGGGAGGGGAGTGGGAGTGGGGTGAGGGTCGGTGGCAGATGGTGGTGTAGTAAAGGGTAGTGGGGGGAGAAGGAAACGGGAGATGCCCGTGTGGGGTTTGGGGTGGGGGGTGGGGAATGGAACGGCGGGTTGAGAATTGACGAGCGAATGGACTCGTCGCTGAGTGGATGCTGAACGCCTGGACGGTGTTCATGAGAACGGAAGCTAATGCGCTTGGTGGGTGATGTGGCGGGACGAGAGGAGAGTGGACCCTCATCGTCCAGGGTCGCAGCGCCCTGGGGTGTTTACCGAAGTCAGGGGCGGGATCAATGCAGTGGAATGCAATCCGTTTTGGGTCGCGTTGGGGGATGCTGAGAAGGAGCGAGTTGAGGGGGTGGAAGTAGCGGAGTCGAGCGTGTGGAAAAACGAGAAACAAGTAAAAGCAACGAGAACAAACGAGAACACTGCCCGGGTGGTAGGACGCTCCCAGTTGTGGTAGGAGGAGAACTTTCGAGGGTTGAAGGTGGATGGATTCTGGGCGTTTTTTAAAGTTGGCGGGTTGGCGGATTGCCGTGCAGGTACTGCGGTACGGCCGTACGAATAAGTACGGACCGCACATTGACGGCCTGGAGCGGGTGGCCACCGTACTCATGTACCTCGTGGGTGAGTCCCCGGGGCCTGACTTGGCACCCGTGTCTGCGTGTGAATGTATGTATGTTGTTACAGGGTGGTTAACTTCGCCAGCGGGCCCCTTTCCCGGGGCAGTCCCTGCTCTCCCCTGCTAGAGGGGCACCCTAATCCGCCACCCCATCCGACTTCAGAATGTATTCGTTGGGTTCGGCAACTCACCACCAGCATCCAACCAAATCTAGCGGATCAACGGCGCATCAACTTAGTTCCTGGTCAGCTCGCGAGTTGATATTATCACGTCCTACATCGTCCATATGATGGGGGGCCACCTCCCATTTCAACACTCCTCAAACACCCGAGGAGCCGGCAGGCGGATTTGAACCCGGGTCGGCCGGGAGCAGAAGTCAGGCCTTAACCTCTGCCAGCCGCCTGCCATATGTATGTATGTATATGTGTGTGTGCGCGCATGTGCGTGTGCTTGTATGTATGTAATAGGTGTATGTCGGAGCGGGAGGGAGGAGAGGATCTTGCCCCGCCTCCCCCACCCGCATCCTCCCCCGACCCCCGCAGCTGACCCGCCCATCCCCCTCCCAGCATTGGCCCCACCGCCGCCCCGCATCTGCATCATTCGTCTGTGGTTTGCCTTTCCCCACCGCTGCGAGCCGCGTCCTGGTCCACGACATACACACACGCGACAAGGGCCTTGGTAGCTAACCACCACGCTCTCTTTCCTCTTGACAAAAAGGGGATATGCGGGGTTGCAAGCCCTATGTCGAGCAGTACTAGGGGACTGTGGGGACCCCTCACGCCCTTCTCCTCCCACCGCTAGGGGGAGAATGCTTCGGCGGTCGTTCCCGTACAATTAGGTGCCCCTGGCCAGTGCCAGACCCGGATCAATATGTAACAGACACATACATACGCGCGCACACACATATCAGCCCTACCACGGCACAGCATGCCAACCATATGGCACACACGCACGCGCGTTTTTCTTTCGACTTTTCATCAGCCATCGGTCGTCCCTACGGTTGTCTTTAAGTCAAGGTGCCCTCGGGACTCCTCCTGGCTCGTATGGGCTCTTGTTACGTGTGGGTTGGCGCGGATTGTGACGTGGCTTCAGAAGGTGTAACACACACAGGCATGTACATACAGATCACCACATCTCGCCTTGATGTGACACACCCCTGTATACAAAATACCCTAGCGCACGTGCGCCCCGCCGCCCCACCTGGGTCCCGTCCGCGCAGAGCCGGATGCTGGCGGCGAGACGGCCTTCACTGACAGGTATGTATGTATGTACGTACGTATGCATGCATGTGTGTATGCATATATGTATGTATGTATGCTTGTATGTATGTATGCATGCATGCATGTATGTATGTATATATGTATGTGTCCCGCTCCCGCTCCCCTGCCCTGCAGTGTGTGGAGCCATCCGGAGCTAGCGGCCCAGGCTGAGCAGTCCAACCCGTCTGCCTGCGCGAAGGGCCACGTGGCGTACAAGCCCAAGCGCGGTGACGCGCTCATGTTCTTCGACGTGAAGCCGGACTACACGACCACAGACGGCCACTCCATGCACACGGGCTGCCCCGTGGTGGCGGGGGTGAAGTGGAACGCGGTCAAATGGATCCATGGAACCCCCTTCCGAAGTGAGTGAGCTCTCCTTTCCTTTCCTTTCCACTGCTGCATGCGTGTGTTTTTTTTGATCATGATGAGTCATGAGGGGGACCTTCTCTCTAGCTGTCGGCCAGTCGTCCTGACTGCATGTCTGTCTGAAATGTAATGTAATGTAATGTTACAGAGTGGGAAGCTTCTGGGCCGCTTTATCACATTGTCAATTCTACGATATATGTCTGTCTGTTTGTCGGTCGGTCCATCGGTCGATCGATTGATCGGAGGGTGTTGGTCATCACATCACATCACATCACACACCGCGACAGGTTTCCTTTGCTCAGCTTCGCCTCCCCCCTGGGCCCCACCGGAGGAGTTGAGAGGGGGTTGATGGAAAGAGAAATGAAAATTGACGAGGGATGCGAAGAAACAAACCCGTCCACGCTGCTTCTCCATACCTGCCGCTTTCCCCAATACCTGCCTTCACCCGCCACCCATTCCCGCCCACCCCTCACTATCCACACCTTCTCCCCTTCCCTGCTTTGTGCTGCATTTCCTTTCAGCACAATGAGGTAATTCCATTCCAAGTACTACCATTCCCCCGCCCCCTTCGTATATTATCCCTATCCACCCCTATCCACCCCCCCCCCTATCCACCCCCCGCCCCCGCTTCCCCGTAGTTGAGGAGTACGAGAAGGCGCTCAAGGAGCCCTTCCAGCCGCTGCCCGACCCGGGTGTGTGCACCGACCTGCATGAGATGTGCGACACGTGGGCGCGAGCCGGCGAGTGCCAGAACAACCCGGGCTACATGCTGGGCAGCAACACCGGCATCGGCAACTGCCGTCTGGCCTGCAAGGACTGTGAGCTGTGCGACCAGGGCGACCAGGCGTGCTACCAGCGTAACAGGGAGTCGGGCGGCTTCTTGGTGTTCGATGAGAAGGAGCTCAAAGGACTATGAGGGCTATTATATTGTGAGGGCTGTGGATGCAACGAGGGGATGGAGGAGGAGGATGGAGGGGGAAGAGGAGGAGGGGAAATGGATGTGCGGGGAGAAAAACACTGGGGACCTGCGCGTGGTGACGACTTCCGGCAGCCGTGACGATAAGACATATTGGCCGCCGTTCTTTTGGCAACCAGCCGAGTCCCCCGGCAGAGGCCTGCCTGCGGCCCTTTCCCATTGGTCAGTTTGGCGGGCCCGGTAGCGGCCTGGTGGCTGAACCTCTTTATTAGGAAACGTCGTGTGGTGCTGTGTGCTTCCCTTCCTTCAAACAAGGGCAAGAGGCGACGAGTAAGAGGCGAGGAGGCGACGCTGGGGCGGTGTCCGGGGTCTTTGAGCGGTCAGGTGGCGGTGGTGGTGCTCGAGGGGCGCGGGGAGAGGGTGCGCGGTAAGGACTCGTGATGTCGTGACTGTTGGGGGTGTCGTTATTGATAATGATGGTGGTGCGTGCGTGCGTGCGTGCGTGCGACTGTTTGCGTGCGAGCACACATTTGTGGCCCCGTGGGCCCTCTTTTGTGTAGTTATATAATGATGGGCGGTGTGCCAGGCCAGGTTGGAAATTTGATTCGCTAGGGCATGTTACGATGTTTTCAGCACCTTGATCCGCGTTTCCCTGAATGAGCAAGTTTCTGCACACCCTGACGACTCGGTAGGATGCGGGTTCTGGCCGCGACCACCCGGCGGGGCAGTAGAGGCCCCGGTCTTGCCAGTAGGCCCTTGCCAGTCTTGCCAGTAGAGGCCCCGGTCTTGCCAGTAGGCCCTTGCCAGTCTTGCCAGTAGAGGCCCCGGTCTTGTACGTTCGTTTCCCGTTAACGGCAAAACTGGAACAGACGCCATACGCCATGCATGCGGGTACTGCCTTTGATACAGGAGAAGGTGTGTGCGCTATTCATGCACTGGAGAAGCTGTGGACCCAGAAGTTCTCAAAGACGTAGGTACGGGACGCACAGTACAGTATTGCCCTATGTACTCCGAGGCGTTTATATTGGTAGTTTAAATTATAATTAGGCATCTCGCCCTCCCGCTTCATGTGTTGTCTCAAGCTCAAGCGCCAATCAAGCAGATGAAATGAGCGAAAAGCATAGACAACTTACTTCGATTCCATAGCGTTTGTGAGCGTTGTACCGTTCCAACTGAACAGAATTTTTAGGCGTCTCCATCAGGCAATTTTTTTCCTACCCTGCAACTCTCTTACCCTCACATTTCGTGGGTAAGGAAGCGGGGAGTTGGGTTACGCATACTGTAAGACTTTGAGAGCATTACCCTACCATTTTTTGCACATGGAAATGTGGACAGGCAGAATTTTTATCCCCAAACTGTCGTGGCGGTTGGTCCTATGTCGCAAAGTACGATGTCGTGTCCTGTGCTAAACGCTTCTAACGTTTTGGATTTTCTCTCCTTGCTGTGAGATGGAGTTCAATGATGGGGCTTGAAGTACTGTCTGCATTTTAGTTGCGTGGTATTGGGCTTCAGGCTTCTTTCCCTATCACGGCATTTGTTGCTCGACTTAGCTGGATAACTTTGTTTCATAGGGGCGTATGAAAGCGCAAGGCTGTTTCCAGTTGGACGAATTGCATGGCGTCCAAGCTGTATGAAACTCTGGTTAGGCTCTGCTGTGGCAGGATACGCACGGAAGCTGTGAAAAATGTACATTATCAAGAGGAACCTCTCGTCGACGTCCAGGGCTCACTGCAGCAGGATGAGGTCAAGGATACAGTTCCAGAAGGTGATTGCTGCCTTTATTAAATATCGCAGATAGTAATTGGTAAGGGACTCATAATTATTGGTGCTGCTTGCAGGAGCGGCGGTCTGCGTCGACGATGTAACGAGTCTATCCGCTTCTGTGCCCTCTGATTCGCCAGCGCTTCAGTCGAAATTAAAGGTGCCGTTTACAGATTTGACCTTCCACGCGCTCATCGGAAAAGGCAGCTTCAAGCAGGTTGGTGCCAAGCGAGGAGTTTCCATCTCTATGACAAAGTATACCAACATATTTAAATCACCGGCAGCCGTTACTGGACATGCCAACTTTATAACTATGTGCAGGTATACCGCGGCAAATGGAACAACACGAACGTGGCGATTGTCGCGATGAGGCAAGTACAGAAGAATAGTGCCTGTTGAAAAGTGCAGCACAGCCCGCAGCACAGAGCAGGAATGCGTCCATGATATGTGTTAGCCTTTTAACCTTAAACGCTGGTCGAGCAGTTCTCAATGGTTGACTCGGCCTTGTTCCCCGTGACCGCACAACACCCGAAGCCCTTGTCTGGTGGATGTCCTCCTCGCGAGAACCCTGCCTCTCCATCCCCATATGCTATTTCTTGGAATTCCCACCCCAGCGTACTTCCCGCTTAGCCATCACCTCAACCTTTCCCGCTAGATCACGCGGGCCAATCCAAACGCTCCACGCCCTCCCCCTTTCCGCCCATAGGCGGGGCGGCCTAGTAACAGAAGCCCGTCTCATGCAGCAGCTGGGTGCCCATCCCAACCTGGTGCAGTTTTACCGGTGAGTCAAAGATCCAAAGATCCAAAGCTTAAGTTGCGCACGGGCGGCACCGACATGATCGCTGGGCTTTGTTCCCGTGACCCACTGACGGGTTTCGGGGCGGCAGGGGGAGCGTGAGCGAGAGCAAGGGCGGGTTAGGGGCCCGCGTGGCGGGGTCCTGCGACCCTCTTGTTGGGACGGGGGCGCATGCGATTCTCCCGTGCGTGTTTATGGCTGGCTGGCTGGCTGGCTGGCTGGCCGGATAGATGGATGGATGGATGTACGGGGGAAAGGACGTGAAAACAGCAAGACCATGGCGTTATGCTGCTGATGGGTTAGAGGCTTTAGCTATCGGCGGCTTGGGGGCTACTAGTGCCCGGTGGCCCTGGTGGTCTTGTTGTTTTATGTTACACGGTTGGGGGAGCTCCGTATCCTGGAGAGAGCCCGGGACCGGACCATGTAGAGGGTCTAGGGGAGCCGAAGGGACATCAGACCTGCTAAGGAGAGGGCACGCAAGGCCACCTTTGATCCAATCACTGACTGTGAATCCTTTCCAATCTAAATCCAACAACCTAAATTTAAACCCAAATTTAAACCCAAATCCAAAATCAGCACCTTCCACCAGAAGGATTCAAAAGAACTCATCCCTCCACCTGCCTAGCCAGCCAGCTAACCAACCAACCGCAACCAGCCAGCCTACCCAGTACCACCCAGTACCATGCGGCCAGGCCTAAGAGGGCGATGGGGTGGGTGGGTGGGTGGGTACATGTAAGCCGAGCCGTTCAATACCCGATTACTAGTCACTCCGCGCAGCGTGCACCCACCATACACACCCACGCCATCCCCACGCCCAGTCACCAATGCATGATATCCGGGTGCTGCCTGGCCATCTCTACCATGCCACTCTTGCCTGCCATGGCCGTCAACCCCCCGGCCCCCCTCGCCGCCATCCCCCTGTTCCCCCCAGCTGGTCGACGGACTGTCGTGGCAATGAGTACGTCGTTGTGGAGCTGGTGCCCTTTGGGTCGCTGGACAAGGTGCTGGCGCAGTTCGGGCAGTCGCTGCGTAACCGCTCCAAGCTCATGATGTGCGAGCAGATCTGTCACGCCATGTGCGAGATGGCCTCGGCGGGGGTGCTACACCGGGACTTGGCAGCCAGGAACATTCTGGTCCAGTCCATGCAGCCCGTGCATGTTAAGGTGGGCGGTCGGGTTGGCGGTGGAGGTGGGGGTGGAGGTGGTGGAGTGTGTTTGATTTCGAAGGGGGTTTGTGGAGCCTTGTTGCGTGTGTGTGAGTGTTTGTAGAAGTGGTATGGATGTGGATGAACGAGATGCCTTACCGCTGCTGCGTAAAGTGCTAGCCAACCTGAACAACTGGCTGGGGTGAGGCTTTGGAGTCTTAGCGAGAGCTGTTTTAAGGGGAAGGGTGGGAGAAGGGGTTCGGCTGCTGGGAGGAGGAGGAGGTGGTAGGATGGTCAATGTTCGAGACCTCTGCGATCTCTTAGAGTGGGGGGAGTTCCAGAAGTGCCGCGCCCCAGCCAAAACGTAAACCCTGCTCTCGCGAAAAGACTGTAGATAAGGTAGAAGACCGTTTGGATTGCCAAGCCCTGTCTTCCAACCACATGTCGGCGCTTGCGACCCTTGCAGGTATCCGATTTCGGATTAGCGCGAGTCTCGCCGCATCACGAAGCCGCCTGCGGCCTTGGCAAGGGCGCCTGTGATGAAGAGCCAGCACAGCAGCAGCGCCAGCAGCAGCGACTTCTGCACGTAGGGAGTGCCGCGGCGTCGACTGGCTCATTGGTCCCTGTGCGCTGGAGTGCGCCGGAGGTGCTGCGGACGGGCGCCGGCTGGTCGGAGAAGTCTGACGGTGAGAGGCGGGAGGGAGGGGCAAGTGGGGTTTCGAAGGGAGCGGTGTGGGAAGGCTAATGGGGCTGCTTCGACGACGGGGTAGCGCGGGGGGGGGGAGACAGGGGGGTAGGTTTGGGCGGGCGGGGATGTTGCTGAGGCCTGTGGGAAGGGGGGGAGGGCGATGGCGGCCGAGCGCTCAGAGCTTTATGTTGGGGGTTGATGGGAAGAGGAAGAGAGGGATGGTGAATCCCTGTGAAGAGTGGACAAGTGCACGGCTCGGCACGTTGACAGAGGGAATCTAAGGTCCATGGGGCTTTTGAGTGCTCTTTAGGTGGCGTTTAGGAGGGCCGATATTACTATTACCGTGGGGGCTCACCAGCAACCAAGTCGGTCGCTATAGCCGTCCTTGCAGGCGCAGCGGGCAGTTCGTCCGCCTAACCCAGGGGATCGAAATGCCGTTAGGTCGCGTAGTGTTCTACCTAGCGTAATGGGGCTACTTCTGTATGTATGTATGTATGTATGTATGTATGTATGTATGTATGTATGTAAAGTTTTCTTCCACAAGCAAAAACATGACCGCTTACCTAGGGTGCACCCCTGCTCTTCGTCCTTGCTCCCAGTTTACTCGTACGGTGTGACGATGTGGGAGATCTTCAGCAATGGCGCCGAGCCGTACGCCAACCGGTCCGACGTCGAGGTGCGTCGGCGAAACATAGTTTGGGTGGCGAGTGGCGTGGCAGGGGACGTGCAGCAAGCCGCAGGGCGCGGAAAGGGTCGTGGAAATAGCTGTCAGGTTTCCAGATTACAGCCCTTGGGTGCACAGCTTCTATCATTTGCGTGATAGATTTAGGTCAGTGTGATTTGGGTTTTCCATCCACACCGTGGACAAGGACAAGGACACCAACGGAAAAACCTGCCTGGGCGCAATCTGTGACCCTGTGTGTCACATATACATGTCGTGTCCTGCCACCTCCGATGCTCTTCCCTCCCTTTCCCCTGCCAGCACCCGCCCCGCCACCCCCGGATATCTTGTACGCTCCATGTTCCCCGCCGAACCCCGGGGACTTCCCCAAGCTTCGCCAACCCGTCCCTACCTCGTCGGCCTGTGTGTGTGTGTGTGTGTGTGTGTGTGTGTGTGTGTGTTTTGACCCCTGCAGGCCGCCGAGGCCATTGTGGGTGGTGAGCGGCTTCCTCGGCCCAAGGACTGTCCGCACCAGGTGTACGCGCTCATGAGAGGTGCGGGCGGGCGGGCGGGCGGGCGTGGTGTGAGTGTGAGTGTGAGTGTGAGTGTGTAGGGCGGAGTGCGAAAGTGATTGTATGTGTATGTGTATGTGTGGTTTATGCCGTAAGCGGCATTGACCTCCGCCCCACCCTCCCTTTTCATTCTTGTCATAGACTGGGCCAGTTGTTGCTTTCGGCGGTTGATTTTTTGTTTTTTGCATCATCATCATCATCATCATCATCATTATCATCATCATCATCATAGCCACATTCACCATTATACGTATAACGTGGTTGTCCCCCTCTCCTTCCCTTTTTTTCTTCAAAAGCGGCTTTTACGACGGCTTTGTCGAGCATTTCGCAAACCTTCTAAATTCGTGCTGCTGCGCGTGTCGCTGCAGCTGCTGGATTACATATGACATACATCTCACCCGTAATCGCACTTCCTTGGCCGCTTCGACAACCTCCCCTCCCGTCCCTCCTGTCCCTGCCCCCCTACCAGATTGCTGGCATCAAGATCCCGCACGTAGACCCAGCTTCCAAAACATAGCAGGCGTATTCAAGCGCTGGAGGGACATGACGCTGGCAGCCAAGGCCGCCAGCGGCAGACGCGGCAGCACCGGCGACAGCGCTGCCGCCGCCGCCACCGCCGCGGCCGAGGAGGCAGCGGCGTTAAAGGCCTTGGAAGAGGGCGACGGCGGTGGCGGCCGCTTCTTCAGCAGCGGCACGGGGCCTACTCCGGCGCCGAGCTGCGCTTCCCGGGCCCCACTCGATCCCCAGCTACATGGCGTCCAGCCCTCCGTGAGCTTTGCAGAGCCACCCCTTCGTCGCTCAGAAGAAGCCAGTGCCGGCGGTTATGGCGGCCCTGGCGCCGGGACCGGCACCAGTGGTCGCGGTGGTGGTGGCGGCGGCGGCGGCTACCTGGCCATCTCGTCGTTATGGAACCCTGGCTCTAGCGTCTTGAATGCTGCGCACCAAGAAGCTGGAGCCGTCGTTGCGGCCGCTGCCGCCGCCACATGCTCGCCACCGGCAGCTCGGCCGCCATCGCCGCCGCGTCGCGTCATCCCCTCGGGCGAGGTCCTGCAACTCCCCGGGCAGCACTCGCACCGCCAAATGTGCACACAGGCGGGCCATCATCACCACCATGCAAGGACGTGTACGTCGGCCGCGCTGGCAGCCGCCTCGACCATGAGCAGCTTCACCGCTGCCACCACCACCACCACTACCGCCGCTGCGACAGCTGTGCTTCCTACCGCTGCGGTCGGCAGTCTACCCCAAGGCAAGCCGATACCCGCATCATCGCCGCCAGGGCCGCCGCGGCCGCCGCCACAGCAGCAGCAGCAATCCGAGCCCGTGGCGACGGCGCTCATCCCCGGCGGTGCTCAATCCGTCGTACAACCGTACGGCGTCGCCAGCTCTGCGTCATCATTTAGTGGATGCAGCGGGCCGCCCATCTGCCCATCGCCCTTGATCCGCAGCTGCGGCGTCGCTGCCTCCCACGACGATAGCCTCCGTGACGGAGGCCCAAATAGCCATCGTCGCAACCACCAATCCCAATACCCCAAGCACAGCTACCTCCAGCAGCAGCAGCAGCAGCACGAGCACTCGAAAAGCAACAGCAGCGTTTTGCAAGGGGATCCGATGTCGGTGGATCTCGGAACCGCCGCAGCCGCCGTCGCAGCCGTTCCCCAGGCAGTTATGGATCTGGACGCCGTTGCCACCGCGGCGGAAAAAGACCCAGGTGCCGCGGCGGGACCCGCGGCGTCTGCTGCTGCTGCTGCAGCAGTGGGGCCAAACTCCTTGTCGACCGGAAAGCAGCTCGCTACGGCCGGATCGCTCAGTAACCTGAACGACGACGACAGCGCCGAGAACGGAGGGCCGCCACCGCCGCCCGCGCCGCTATCGTTTGGGGCCGCCGCCGGCAAGGGCAGAGACGGAGGCCCGCTGTCGGATTGGCCCGCCGGCGGTGTCGCCCCGCATGCCACTCCGAGTAGCGACGGCGATGTCGGTGCCTTCCGTGACATGGCCCTCCTCCAGTGCACACACTCGCTGTCGTACCACCCCTTGGTGCCACCGCGGCCGTACGGCCTCAGTTCGCCTCCGTTTGGTCAGGATGGCGGCAGGACCTGCAGCGCTGGCGGCGCCACAGCCATCCCGGCGGCTTGCTTGCCGGATAGTAAGGAGTGCGAGGTGGCAGGGGCAGGGGCGCTGCCGTACTTGAACCGGCATAACCACCACCATCAGAAGCAGCCTCCGCTGCATCTGACTCCCCCGCCGCCGCCGCCGCCGCCGCCGCTGCAGCAGCAACAGCAGCGGCGGTTCCGAGGGCTCGGGAGTTCACCTGAGCGCGTCTTGCGGCGGCGCCTCGCCTTAGGCTCTGGTTTGGGGTGGTCGTGTTCTAGCCCCCTACGACCCACGCACAGCCGTGGCCATGACGTCTTGATGCAGGCCGTCGCTAGGTAATCATTTTTGGGGATGGGGGGAAGTGGCGGAAAGGAGGGACAGAAGTGAGGGCGGTCTTGGGGCGCATTCGCCTGCCATCCGTCAATCCCGCCTTTCCACCCTCGGGAAGGTGCCACCCACAGCCGTGGATGGGATTTCCTCTTGAGAGTGACTTGGGACTGGGAGTGGACTTTGAGGTTTCGTTGCCCGCGTCTACTGCCGCGTCGTACCTCCCTTGTCTTTTGCCTAGGGACGCCCGGGGCTACCGCACGAGTACTTCAGACACCCTGGTCGCCGCGGCGGAGCATATGGGCGATGGCGGCGACAGCGACAGCAGCAGCAGTAGGAGGAGCAGCAGCAGCGACGGCGGCGGCAGCAGCAGCAGCAGCTCGCGAGCTGACGATGGGTGTACGGGAGGCCGCACAGCTGCCGCCGCCGCCGCCGCCGCTTCCTGTACCTGTGTGGCAAAAGCAGCGACGGAGGTTGTGGATAGCCCGGGTCCGGTCCGACGGCAAGCAGGAAATCACGTGAGGAGCTGCGCCGCCATTAAAGATGGCGGGCAGGAGCGGGTGCTCAACTCGGTGGATCTGACTACATGTTTGGAGCCAGTTGGAACTCCATTCGGCAGTGAAGTTGAGGGCGGCCGCGCCAGCGGCAGATGTACTACGACAGCTGCGGCCGCCGCCGCCGCAGCAGCAGCAGTGGCAGCGGCGGCGGCGGCGGCGGCGATGGCAGCCGCCAAGGGCTCCCGTCAGGCCCGCAACGCTGTCAGCACCAGTGCGGCGAGGCCTGCACGAAGTATACGACACGCCGTACGTGCAATAACGGGGAGTTGCGTGAGTGCGCGCATTGGCAGCAGCGTCAGCGGCGGTGGGCCATGCACGTGTTGCAGCGGCGAGGTGGCGGCGGCGGCGGCAGCTGCTGCTTCGGCTCTAGCCTTTCCGTGGGCTAGTCAGGGCGGATCCGGCTTCTACGGCCTGTGCGAGACGTGTATGTTGAGCATGGAAGTGGAGACCGCAATCGAGCCCCTGTTGTCGCAGGGCTCCACTGGGCTGTCCTCAGTGAACACGCATCGGGAAATAGGGGCTCCCCGCGAGGGTGGCGGAGTCGGCGGCGGCAGCACGCAGCTGGCGTCGCCGTCAACGCACACCAGGGTGTCAGCCATGGCGGCGGCGGCGGCGGCGGCGGGCCAGCGGCGGTCCTCCGCCTTGGGCAGACGACAGGGCTCTGACGTGAGCGACCGATTCCTGGAATAAGGGTTAGACAGCTTGCAGGCAGCTGCCGGTCCATGAGTCAAGGGGGAGGTAAGGACTGGGCATGGCTGGGCTTAGGGCCTTGATGGGGGGAGAGTTGGAAATATTCTAGTTCATATTATTGAACAATGTTCAACGTAAGGTGCAAATTTCATTAAACATTTAAACCAAGTGACTACCCCCCATGTTTTATGGTGCTCGGATAGCCCCCTGCCGTCTCTGTCGCTCGCTGTGGCCACCATCGCCCCGTCCTCAGCCAGCACCACCTCACCAGGCCATTCACCTCACAACTTGGCAAGGGTGCCCACCATCTCCTCAACCGCGGTGTGGTGTGGTGTGGTGTGGTATGGTGTGGTGTTGCTCGCAGCTTGGGTCAGCGGCTCCATGTCCTCGGCGGGCGTCACGAGCACACCGGGGACAACCTCCGGGGTCACTACGGGCGGGAGGAGGAGGACCCGGAGAATCGCTCCCGCTGCGGCTACGCGCGCAGGGAGGACCATGCAACGTCCGCGCCGCCGCCGCCGCCACCGCCACCGCCGCAGGAACCAGCGCTGCTGTCACCGCCGTCAGAAAACGGCGGGGATGGCGGAGGCGCCGACACGGTCCCCTTCCCCGGTGTTACGGGGTGTGGCGGCGGCTACGGCGGCGGAGGCGGCGGCGGCCCCAGCTCCTCGTGTTCAGTGGGGGCATAGGGGACCGCAGCCGTGGATTTTCGTGGGCAGGCAGCTGGAGTGGGGCCGGCGGCGCGCAGCCCCTACTTCTCCGTCCACTGGGGTATGTGAGCTAGGCGCGATTCCAGGTAGCAGCAGGGCGCTGCCGTTGTGGGTGGCGGGCGGGCGGGTGTGAAACCCGGAATCTGGGAGTTGGGTATCCATCTGTGATTGATCGGGTAGTGGTACGGGAGGATGCTGTGTAGTACTGTTTAGTTTGTAAAGATTGTTGGGTACGTGTGGTTATAGCTGCACAGTTTCGTGTTGAAGCGGGGTGACGTGGTTTAGGGTTTGGTTGGAGCGGGTGATGATGGCGCTGCTGCAGGCATGCCGCGGCTTGTTTGGAACCTGTTTCGCGCCAGTTGTCGGGAGGCACCCGAAATGCGCTCGAC